TACTTCATAATGATCATGCTGGACACTTGCCTGAAAACGTAATTTGTCTAGATGGTCAGAATCATGCAGTCTACAAATTTCAAACAAAACATAAATGAAGTTACTTGACACTTCAGTTCTAAGCATCCTTATTGGCTAAAACCTCTTATACTCATCGTTACGTAACAATACAAAATTATCATTCTGTAAGAAACAGGGTTTTTGAACATTTGACAAAATTTAGTGCATTCCATTCTGAAAATGACAATACTGAAGAACACGATTGTGTTCGTTCGTGTACCTGTGTGTTGACGGCTGCTCATCAGGCTGAACAGTGTACGTATTCACTGGAAACAGCCGCAGTTTGTTATGCTGATTATTGCGCTGCACCTGAGCCTGCCACCCATTGCCCTGCGTCGCATTGCCACCTCCGAGATATAACACGCTCTCCGAGTGATGTCGCTGCGGCGTCTGAACCCGGGCACTGTGAGCTATGAGCTGTCGTGAAGACGCCGAACCGTGGTGCGTGCACGAACTGCTGGCTACACTCACATCACTTAGAGAACCGTGCCACTTGAGTGTTTCGCTGGATGAAGCACTCCCCGAACTTGTCGTTACAACGCTGTCTCGACCTGCGTGACTGCCATCGCGTTCCCTCTCTGGATGCTCGTCCCACGACGTCGGGGCAGTCGCAACCGGTCGAGTCGTGGCTTCACTGTCTCTTCGCAACCTCAAGGATACAAAATACATAATTTATTCATTGGCTTGTAAAATAATTTCATTATAGTTACATTTAAGACTTTTACACATATCAGAAGTCTGTCTTGAGTGAAATTCACACAAAATTACAAAAGATGCATTTATTTTTCTAATCAGAACCTCACCTATCCAGGAATGGTGTAGTGGTGATGGAATCAGTACTGGAAACATAACTGTGGTAGCCCTCCGACTGTGCATACGATGGCTGCTGCTGGTGTTGCGGTCTTAGCGCTTCTTCGTACACGCGGGAGTACTCTTCCAAGTCCGCCTGCGTCAGATGGACTGCCTGGGGTTTCGGATCCTGATACGATCTCGCGTAAGCCTCGAGATCAACCTGCGTCAGTTGTGGTGGATCCTGATACGATCTGGCGTACTCTTCCAAATCTGCCTGGGTTAGTTGCGGTTTGCTGGCAATATCCCGCTCAGGAGGGGATGGAACCAGATAGTCTGTATCTCCTAAAGCCTTTCCTTCTCGATCCACTCTTGGCAGATATTGGTGTCCCTGATTATCTTCCACCATTTCAGGTCGTGACTCAAATGCTTCTGGTGGTATCTTCTCACACCGTTCCATAACTGTTTTCAGCTGCTGGCATAAAAGGGAACATTTTCTGAATAACTATTGGGAAAACAACTGCAGGTAAATGTTTAAAAGACTGTCAATATCACCATGGAGGCATCTACACTTACATTTTATAGCAATGAAACTCATTTAAAATAATCAAATGCAATGTTATCACGATCTTCTAATTCACTCAATATGTTCTGCCTACAAATTGAACAAATGCTTTTTAATAATTTCATTAGCTCCAGAGAACTTTACAGTGGTCGTTACCCTTCAGGTTTTTTGACTAATCTTAGATAAGAGTCAACAGCAATCTTGGTTGCTCTAACTCCTAATATTCCGTAATACACTGGTCTCGCCAGCCACAGTTTTGCCATCAGCAGTGATTTTCAGGACATAGCCCCAGTGACTGGTGAGCGATTGTTTTACGTCAACAACTGCAATCCAAAATACTGGTTACTGCCTGACAGATGAAAGCTGTGCCTGGGACCAGAAGGACGGATAAATTTGATTCACGAAGAGCGTTCACATAACAAATTTATATGGCATATAGTGGGACAGCTTTACATATTGGTCGTGACCATTATTTTACCTGCTGAGTGAATGCTGGGTTGGGTCGCTTCATGTAAGGGCGCGTGTATGTAATACCCTTCTCCTTGGGATAATTTGTGTGGTCAGTCCAAGACTTTGACCTGTGGGAACCTCCGCCCGGAGCAGACCGCATCGACTGAGGCACATCAGCAGCTGCAGATACCGGCCATGAGGGAAATTTCTCATGTCCAGGGCCGTACTTGATACTCTTGAGGCTGGAAGCATCACGCACTGGTGGTGCTGGTGGCGGAGAGCCTCCATCTCCTTGTGTCTGCTGCTGCACCACCGGGGCAAAGTTCAGCCCCGACTGAGTGTGCAGATACGAGTAGATGGACGTCTTGCTCTCGCCACGCGCCGCGATGCCTGTGCCGGGTTGCTGATGCTGCAGGTTCGGTGTCGAGCGAGCCGACATCATGACGCGACCCGACGGTGTCGTGGCATCCCTCGCCATGTGGCACACTTTGGAGGCAGCAATGTCACAGCCATTAGGGTGCACACTGCAAACATAAAACAAACCGTCTTCAGGGTAGGAAGGATTGTCATGTGGTGACACGAAAACTAATCGGTGTCATTCTGCATTAAAGCTACTTTGTTTCCTAACGCTTTCAAAGTGTAATGAATTTTCTTTTATGAAATTTTTCAAATGGTGATTTGGTAGTGGTGAAGTATTATTATGTAAGATATGAGGTTCTCACGGTAGTGATAATCACGTTCTTATGGTTTGGGACACCAGATCTGTCTCCGGGTGGAAGCTGCTTCTCATGGGCATTGTTCCTAACGCCATCCCCACCTCATTGTGATAATCGTTTGTTTATTCCTTACCTCCTCTGTCCAAGCCCATCATAGCCTCCTACATTTCACGTCCCCAACATCACTAGCCTATGTACCTGAAATTAATTAAAATCATCCTGAATTGCTTGCTTACTGCATCGTTCTTGGTCCAAATATTTCTGTGGACACTCTGTTTTCAAACATTTATAACTGATGTACCTCCACCCCTGGAGTAAGAAGCCACAATTCACTCACAGAAGTAGCAAAATTAGTTTCTACATTTTAATCTTCGGCATTTTCGAAACTAGACAGGATGGCGACTGAACAATAATGATCTCTGGCTCAAACGACTTTGTTTATTTTGTCTGTGCAGAATTTAAACAAATAAACTTCTTAGCTTTCGTTTGGTTACAATTTAAACTGAAACAAGGCGTGCCCCCTGAACGAAGGCCTGCATTTAATAGTTCTGAGGTCTCGTGGCTTGGAGAAAGCGCACGATTCCCAAAACTACGGTCTCAAGGGTCCACAGTTGAGTGAGGACTGTAGTGAAACGTGTCCGGGAGTTTGGGTCTGAGATTCGGGAGAGGCCGGGGACGATTTATAAACGCGCTGCAGCTGCCAATGTTCGGAGGACCTGCGCGCGACCGAAAGCGACGGGCTGACCGCAGTAAGGAACTGGTTATTCCACTTCGGTCGCCTCCAACACACGGGCCGGGCCGTCCATACGCTGTCACCCCATTGTTCTACCTGTAAACTCGATTCGAATTCAAACACTGCAAGGAACCTGCAGCCACTCCGGATTACGTCACGTCTGGGATTAGAGTAGGACCACAGATACGGGATACGTTCTTGTCCGTCTCTTATTATATGGAGGACAGGAAAATGTGTAACCTCACCGAATTGAGATGTAAATGTAAACAATTCTGTCGACTGTGGGGAGGCGATGTTTGTCGACGTGACACAGCACGATCTTGCTTACGGTAACAGAAGACAATGAAAACCGAATCATCTGCTGGGCACAGAGCAACTCTTATTACATTGCAGAGAGCCAGATACGAGCAAAGCTGTCCCGCCGTGGAGGTGCTTAGGGGGAGAGTCGGTAACAGCCCCTACTCGTTCCTGAACTAGGCACTAGATGGAGAAGAAGTTTTACCGCGGGGGAAACACGCGGTACCAGGGTGGACCCCAGAACCGGCATAGATCCAGAGGCTGGAAGTAAGATCCTTTGCCGCTGCCGAAGAGTTATACCAACGTTTCGGATACAATTTATGCGTACATCTCCTGAAGATGGAGACGATACGTTCCTTTGAAACGTTGGTGACCACGTACAAGAACACTTTTCAGATTTTCACTGCCGTCAAAACCCCAAATCTCATATAAAGGTAATATGAAGACGTAAGGGGGAAATAGAGGCAAAGTTCCACGCATTCTTAAATTAGGAACTGGATTGCTTCTACACCTTTACCTACTTCGTTACAGCCAATTACTTTGGGCTATAAATTTTAAAATGGCCATGTTAATAATATCTTAACACCGCCAGGACCGTTGTATTGATACCCCTGACATTCGCTTTCTTTCTTCTTGATGAAGTAAAACGCTGACGGTCAAAACGGCGTGCAAATAAACGTGATTGCGCAGGATACACTTCTGATGCTTTTTAACGCTGCAACGTTATCTTCAAAGGGACGGGCAACACCTGCGGCGAAGACGATGGAAGAGGGTATCAGATGATACCTATTTCATGCCGAGCGGGAAACCCTGAGTTGAGTTCCGGTCGGGCGGGTAGATGGAGGAGGTTCTCAATTTCCGTCCATAAACACAGCGCCAGACTCTGTATCCGATTTCACGTGTGCAAGTTACATCCAGCAGACTGTGTTCTGGACACAAAAGGTGTTCACGCAGCATTCCAACGCTGGCTGGATCGTGAAGTACATCTCGCAGCAAACGACAACTGCTTAATTCTTCAGTGGCGACATTTCAGTTCCGCTGTTCCGAAACGTCCTCACAAGATCGCTTATGGACTTCTTGCAATTTCAACGCCCCTTGTAGCTATATTACAAAGACGTACTTTTACTTCAGGGTTTTTCGTGGGGCAGGCTGCTGGAGTGAGGGTCGTACTGGCATCAGAATCCAGCTCACAACAGCGATGCCTCTATCTGTAACATTTTATATTATTATTTGAAATGTATTTTATCAGTGAAGGAACAGGCGAGTTAATTCAGGGCATGACGAGCGTTAGTAGCGACCGCTGTAATTGCAATCCACATTTCCCACGAGGCCTTGGGACCGATGTGTTCTGGAATACGAACCACCAGTCCACACAGTCGCTGTAAAGGCGAGCCAGATGTAGGAGCAGCGGCGGGCGGTCATCTGACCGGTCTGGACCGGTTGGTGCACCCGGCCACACGCCAAACACAATAGCCACAAATCAAGCCACATTCTTTGAGGCACCCACATTGCTCGCGTTACGATCTCCAGTAGCTGCTCCGTATCTCCACATGGCATCACATCGTCTCGCACACTGAGGCCGGAGCTCGTCCGAATAACATTTAAGAATTCAGTCCGTACCGCAAAGAAAACACCACACTTAACCATTGCTTAACGCTGTTCAAAAAAAATAGCAGTTTGAAGCGTGAATTCATACAAAATACAAATATGTCAGCGGCACTGCCCATTAACGGGTTTAAGTGACCTAAATGGCCACACGAGTTGAGTTGCGTTGTGTTGACGTGGAATGTGCTCTGAACACTCCATATTCAGAACCCGATTACCCCACTGATCGTGTCTGTCTGTCCGCTTGTGTGTTTATAACAGACTGAATAACACTAACAAACCAGCTGATCTTTTGAAACTCACAATGTGACCAGATATTTAAATACAATGGCAGCCTACACGTTCCATTAAATATAATAACCATTATCTCAGATGGTGCCCCTCGGTCGACTAGTGGTTAGCGTGCTCGCCACTGGACCCAAGGTTCGCGGGTTCAAACCCGGCCGAGGTCGATGAATTTTTAAGGCAGATAAAAATCCGAAGCACAACTTCCTTTGGAGGAGAAGTAATAAAAAACCACGTAATTAATTCTACTTTGGCAGACAGACAGACGCACACCCTTCCCTGATGAGTACATTCAAACGCTGAGAGTCATTTCTTGTTCGGCAGCAAACAGTCGATGGCGGCAACGCTTTGAAGTGCGACTCCTGGCTCCATTAGAACATATGGGACTCCCCCCCACCCCCACCCCTCCTTACAGCAAAGCTCATGCATCCAGCGGATCGCAATTCGGCTTGCGGCTGGCGAGGTATAAGGACCGCCATTGAAGACGGACGCCTACAAAGTACAGCAGCAGCCATAAAACTGATCAAATAACTTTCAAACGTAATTTTCAGCCGTGTTTAACTTTTACTGACCATGGACGTCTTTGTTTCTTACAACCCTACTTGCATATGTTCTTCATTGAAGACATAAGCAACGCTTTGGAGAGGGTCAGAGTCCTCCGCTGCACATCAGACGCGTTACCAACGTAACAAGGGACCGCAGAAGACGTTGCCATCCGACGACAATCGCTCTTCTGGGCCTTGGCCACGCGTGACGCAGACAACAGAATGTTCGACTGACGTTAAGACAACACAGTTGTGCAGCTTTCGGAAGAAATTCTAAAGGACTTGATGGACCGGACGAATGGGATCAAAGGGCGAATGCACGAAAGGAATTCTTCTCCGTTGAACTGAAACGTGCCTGTTCCACCCGTAACTTACGTACACCGATCAGAGAACAAATGCGAAACGTACAGTAACGTAGCATTTTGATTGGGCCCCCTCCTCAGCGAAAATGGAGGACCTCGCTTTCAAAGTGGCCACAGTCCGAACCGTTCCCCGCCAATCGCTGACGAATCTCAAGTTTCATTCCCCGGAAGTACTTGATACAACGTCGTTAACTCTACATCCTATAAATGACATCATAGGTAGGAACACAGTTCATTTTTGTGGACAAACACAGACTTTCCGTCGTGCTCACATCAAACACCTGGAAACACAATTCTGCAATTGACTGAAACATCACGAACGGGACATTAAATTACGATTTACAATCTTGACTTGCAGAGAGGACATCTGGGAGCAGATTTGAGCACTAGTGCCACGAATACTCCAACAGATCATAAATCATCACCGTGCGCTATGCACGTTTTACAAATCCGTTACGTACGATTTGAAATTCTTCAGAACGAGAACCATGCAAAACTGGGACATGTTTACAAGTCATCTGCATGGTCAGTAAAGAACTTCAACCAAACATGTCTTAATTAACGACTCAGACTTTGTCCAATATTAATGAATTGCAAAGGACATGCATGAGCTACCACCTCAGTACTTTCCTGGAGGTGCTGAGGCAAACCACGGAAAACCTCAAGACAACCGACCTCGAGGCTTCGATCTGAACGAGGGTGAGCTCAAATATCTTGGAACGTGCTGAACGAGAGGCGTCTGTTACGAACGACGAACATTTTCCAGGACTCCTAGGGGGCTATGCCCTCTGGCCGCGACAGAAGTCTCATAACCGGGTGCGCGTTGTTACCATTTACTAGGCATGGGCCGGGTTTCTTCAGTCACCATCTGGAGAGAGTTTCATGGCAAATGTCCAGATTTTAAAAGCCCACTCTTGTCCTCGCTGAAACAATGTTACAGTTGCCCAGCGCTCGGGGACACAGCGAATTACCAGCGGCATT